CCCCCTCTGGCCGGATAAAAGGGCGATGAAGGAGTTGCTAACAAGGCATACTGTATTCGTACGCCTCCTGTTGGTACCGGATGTCTGTACCGGCAGCCTGTTCTAAATATAGAACTACTCTGTCCGGCTCGAGGTTGCCTTCAAGGTCACCAGGGGTCACAAGACCAAACTGAACTGAGAGCAAACTACCATAACTCACCCTCACTATTACCTTCGCCACTCTAAGGGTCAGAACCAACGCCCTAGCTCGTCCCGACCATCCCGACAACCCCGTGGAGCTGACCGACAAGATACCTGCCTTGCTACCAACTAACACCATCAGAACATCTTCAATAAACTGAAACAACGAAGATTGTGTGTTTCTCTGACCCTGTCATTCAATATAGTGGGACTCTTTATAACTGAAGGGGAGACCATTATAAAGAGGATATAGTGACCCCATATAAATTGCCAAGACTATACAAATGTAAAAACAATATGAGGATTCTGAATGAATAAATTCTTCTCCAACTTCTGTCTCTGAATCTGATCTTTAACATAAACTGGTGTTCCTACACAAAAACATTAAGGAAGCAATGACAATGTGGTTAATATTTTTCAAAAACATTTTTCTGAGATGACAATTTACTTTTGGTAACTAAAAGAAAATACAAAATATATTTACAATTCCAAAAGAATATGAAAAGAAACCTTTTCCTCTAACCTTGGACTGTGTTAAAGCTGGCTGTGTGAGGTAGTGACAGGCAACAGTCCAAAAGTCTATTTCTCCCTGATCACCGAACAACTGTGCAACTACAAGAGCGCGATGAGCTGTGGATCCACATGTCTCTAGGAATTCACGAAGTTCCTCTGGAATTCTTGATATCCAAACTTCAATATCTGAAAATATTTCAAATCTACATTCAGAAAAATATGCATGTTGACAATCATGGTATAACTTATGCAATTCAAACAAAGAGACACAAAGACAAATATATATACACACAGATAAATACATGCACAAAAAACATGGACACATGGACACACACAAGCACCCATGCACCCACACAACGGCAACAAGAACTCCAATAACAAAAAAAGACTTACTCAGGAGTTGTTCAGGCGTAAATCCATCTTCACCAGAGAAAGAGAGAGAGTACTGGGTCTGCCATGGCTGATGTGTCATCAGTGTCCTTAGGTTGAGGGATGCCTCCCCCGCAAGCAAGTATGGGGATACTATAGGGTCTGCAACAAAGAGGAAGGTAAATTGAGTAGGCAAAAATGCTCATCTTAATGAAAATGTGAACCCAAGAATCATTACATTATTGTTCCATAAGAAAAATAATTCCAATCATCTGCTCCATCTTCATCTTGTGTATGCAATATGAACATACAAATGTACATAGCAATATAGAATTATAATAATATATACATCATGGGAAACAGAGGAGTTCAATTAATCTTTAACTTACCTTTTGTACAATACTGGCATATGGGAGAGTTTGAGGTCTTCAGGTTCATGTCCATAACCCGTAGACATCCATCTACTGTGGCAAGGACTGGTCTGTCTGAGGCACCCCAGTCCACATCAACCACCTTCACAATGTCACGTGGAGATTTCACCTGGCTCACAAGTACCACCTGAATCCAAATACAATGTAAACAAAACTTTTGACTAGACTACAGAAAGAAAATAATGGCCATAATTATCAGGGGAACTGGCTGCCCAAACTTTGACACAAATGGTCCCTGAAGATATTCTGTTCACCTTTCCATTCCCACTCCATTCACCTGAGAGATTTGTCTCAAACTGCAGGTAAAGAACTCCCAAAGTCTTTGCTCAATTTTTTACCCTCATAGGAAATTTTCTTCAAAGTAAACATCCACTTACATCCCTGACGTCCCAGATATCGATGCCATCAGCAAAGAGAACCAGAAGCTTCATATTATCTCGTCCAGGAGCGAATCTAACTTTACGAATCCAGCCACGGTGTGTTGCTATATGGCGGGAAATACGAGTCTTCAGGTCCCACACTGTCAAATTACCATCTGCATCACTCAGGATGATTTCATGGCTCTTCCATGCAATCGATGTGATTGCACTCATTTGAGACTGGAAATGATAATGAATTACTGATCTTCCTCACAACTGTACACTTATCAGTTTTTTTCTCTAAACAGGTATGTGTTTAAATTTCAAAGAAATTAAGAGAAAATAAAGGAGTACCCATGAAAACTGTACATTTGTTATAGATATGGTATAATGATATTCAAGATCTCAAACTGTAAATGATAACTTATTACTCCTATGGGATACCCAAGTCAAGTAATCTAATGAAATAAAACTTACATCTGGTGGAACCTTTGTTCCATCTCTGATTACATTGCCTTCCACTGAGAAGTGATAGAGTTGGCCCTCTGTATCCGTGAACACAAATGTTTCCTTAGCAATACTTGTACGCTCATTGCCACCTGAAAAACAGCACAAACTTCATACTCTTGCTCTTTAACATAGAATTTACCACATTTATCTTCACTTACCTACCACTATGTAAATAAAAAATATAAAGTTTACTTTTTAAATATTCACAATATGTACAGATATTCCAGCAAATAACAAACATTTCAACTAAACAGAATAGTGGGTAAAAATAACTGACCAAAGTCTGCAAGAGACAACATAGATTCTGTCATTGAAGCCTCAGCCTGTGGAGCCTCCTTGGGGACTGATGACTCGCTCTTCCCAGGCTCTGCATCTGGGACCTTCTGGCTCTCAGACTCTCTACGGGCTTTCATGTGGCTAGTGGGAGACCACTCCAGAGCAGACACTCTCGGAAACCTGCGTGGCATCGTTCGTAGTGGAACCAACTTTCTGGCATCCCAAAGTTCAAAGGGATCCTCTCTAAAGACAACTATGAAGTACTGCCTGAAATAAAAACACCATTTGATGAATAACATTAAGCTAGCTTTATTTATCCATATTTATCATAAGTTTAGCATCTGTTTTTTTTTTCTTCTTTACTAAGCACATGCCTACTGTAACATGCATAAAATTCTACTTACTTAAGGTATGAGACTCTGACCATATCAATGCTTGTTTCATCACTCTTGTTTGGTCTGAGTGTGATGGTTCTTCCAGTGAGAATGTCAGTGTAGATCAGTTCATTACGAACAAGGCCCTGACTATTGGTGAGAGGCTGGTGCCCAAAGGACAGGATGGATGTTAGGCTTGTCCACTCCACCCCTCTGCAAAAGGGAGAAGGGAAATATAAATTACTTCCATTGAACATTATAAATTTAACTGGCAAGTTCATGCAGACTGAAATTTCATACACTTTAATATACCTTTTGGTTACCAATTCTCTGCAAATCATTTACTTTTTAGTCCTAGTAACCCAATCATATATCTTTTTAACTGTGACATTTATCAGACAGCATTCATTTTTACTATATTTTCCTCTCATACGAAAAAAGGAAAAAAATAGGATGATACATCATAACCACCATCAACAATAATAACAACAACAGCAATAATAATAATTAAAATAATAATAATAATAATAATTATTATTATTATTATTATTATTATTTTCATCATTATATTTATAATCATTATTATAACAACAATAATAATACTGGCAGCAGTAACAATAACATTGACAATAATATTAATAATAATCATCATAATTATAATAATAATGATGATCATAATAATGATGATGATAATAATAATAATAATAATAATAATAATAATAATAATAATAATAATAATAATAATAATAATAATAATAATAATAATAATAATAATAATAATAATAATAATAATAATAATAATAATAATAATTATATCAATAATAATAAATTTGTCCTTTCTAAAATTTTATTGGATAACAAACCTGACAGGGTATGTGTGCAGTGCAAATTCTCTCTCTAGCATTCCTGTGGCCATGTTAAAGATCTGGACAGCACCACTCTGTGTGCCAGCTGCCAGCCGGGGCACATAGTGGTGTATATTCCTGGTGGTAAGAGGAGGACACATTCGCACTACAAGTGGGGGTGGGGATACAGCAGGCATGAGGCCGGTCATCAGAATTCTCAGGTTCACACGGTGGCCAATGTCCTAGCAGGAGGAAACAAAAAAGGGTTTCCATTTAATAGTCTCTCTGACATTTCGGGAAAAAGTCATTAATGATCCTAGTCACAAATACTTGATCAGATGCAGTTAGATGCTTGGTTACACCTAGGAACTAATTACCAACATTGAGATATTTATTATAACATTAGTGGTGGTGGAGGGGGATAGTGATGGTGATTAATGTGGTGATAGTGAGAGGAAGATGGTTATGGTGACTAATGTGGTGGTGGTGGTGGGAGGGGGTAGTGGGGGTAGCAGTGGTTTGGGGTGGGAATTGGGGGGTGAAGGGTGATGGTGATGGTGACTGATGTGGTGGTGTGGTGGTGGGGGGGGTGATTGTGATGGTGATGGCAATGATAATGATGATTATGATGATGGTTATGATGATGATGATGGTGTTTATGATGATAATGATGATGATGGTGTTTATGATGATAATGAAGATGATGGTTATTATAATGCTAATGATGATGATGATCATGATAATGATGATGATGTAGATGAAGATGAAGAAGAAGATGAAGATGACACTGATGACAATGAATCAGAGAAAAATCCTTGAAGAAAAAAAAAAATACTCTCACTTTTGCTACCATTACCTTGACATTTTCTGACAGAGCCCAGGCAGGCTTCACCATGTCTGCCAGTGATGTTTTGGGCAGACTAAGGCAGACACCAGAGGGAGAACTGGATAAACTGAAGTGGTTGTCAGCAATGTTGAGGCCTGACTGGGGAGGTCCCTGAGGGGGGCCTACTGGGGCTGAAGGAGCCCCTGGGGTGAATAGTGGGGTGCTCACGGCCACCCGCCCAGGGGTTGGGGTGGTTGTCACCTGCTTGAATACCACACGGCCATCACCAAGCACCAATGCTGCTCAGGAAAAAAATACTCAACAATTAGACCCAGTTCCACTCCAAATAAATCTGACTTTGGCCAAAAAAGTTTATGACAAAATGAATAACAGCCTTTAAACAAATGAAAAATTATAAATGAAAGTTGCACTAATTTTTGGTAATGAGGCAGCATTATCATAAAATGACAGGGATGAGATGATTGAACCAATAACTGATAATGCAGTTATAACCATCAGAAATTAAGACTAGATACTTCAATGTTGTGTTAAAAATATATATATCCTAAGAATACAAAATAAAGTGAATATCTTTAAAACATCCACAGTAGCTTTCAAAATAGGAATGTTCTCTCAATCATACTGGCTACAATCTGTCCAAATCCATTTGAAACTAGCTGTGATCTATGATAAGCCAACAAGCAGGTCTACAAACTACAATTTGCAAGAATATACTTGCTAATGTTCCCTAGAATACCTGCAATGCAGCATACCTGTAGGTTTAGTGTATTGCAAAAGCCAGTGTGTCTTGTAAACATTTACCCAAAGCATTTCTGTTAGCAATGTGATAAATCATAATGACTTGATTTTTCATGAATTTGTACTCATATTATATCACAAATCTTTGGTAATTTTGGGAAAGAGAGAAAGAGAGAAAGAGAGAAAGAGAGAAGGAGAGAAGGAGAGAAGGAGGAGAGAGAGAGAGAGGAGAGAGAGAGAGAGAGAGAGAGAGAGAGAGAGAGAGAGAGGGAGAGAGAGAGAGAGAGAGAGAGAGAGAGAGAGAGAAGAGAGAGAGAGAGAGAGAGAGAGAGAGAGAGAGAGAGAGAGAAGAGAGAGAGAGAGAGAGAGAGAGAGAAGGAGAGAGAGAGAGAGAGAGAGAGAGAGATTTGATTTGATTTGATTTGATAATATTTATTTACAGAACAGTGTACATGCCCTGTAAAAAGCCAGGGTAAGATGCTACCGCATCTATCCAACTGGCTATGCTTATATTTATGTAAAGGGCTATTAGTCAAACATTAGTTCTACATGCCTGAAGGGCTGTGTCATTATGCATACATTATTCACATATCATCTAGTTGGTAAAAAACCTTTTATATCCCTAATCATATCGAAGACAAGACCAGTGTCTATGATAAAATTAATATAATCAATAAGTGCTGGTCTCTGGACAGTGCTATTTGATCGATAGGATGCAGTTTTTGAGCAACAAAGTAAGTAATGTGTAAGATTATGCGACTTGGGCGCCTTGCACATTTTGCATTGGTGATACGTAACTGGCTTTGCCTCCAAACTGCATCCTGTACATAATGTATAGTGTATTGATACCCTATGCGTAGCCTGGTTAGCGTGACCTGCTGTCTCCGAGACAGTCCATCGTAGTATTTATATGGTTTGTCAGCATCACATGACCTGACAATACTTTCATAATGCCAGATGGTACCATGTCCACTTTTCTTCAATTTTTCAGTGGTCCATACCTGGCCCTCATAATCTCGAAGACAGCTGATAACACGTTTTTTCATTTGACTGATAGATAGCGGTATTACATAATATGGTTCTTCATGGGAAAGTGCTTGCTTTGCTAACTTATCTACGTTGTCACAGGTTGATATCCCTATATGAGAAGGTATCCAGTATAGTGATACTTGTATACCCTGCTCGGATAGGCTAGCGATTTGGTGAATGGTATTGATAGTTACCATGTTTTCTGGATTAAATGTTGTAAGTCTATACAGTGCACCCTGGCTGTCAGAGAAGACAGCTAGGTGTCGCTGCTGTTCAGTGCCTTTTTTGATGGCATGGTATATTGCTACTGACTCGGCATCAGTTGTGCTTGTCCAGTTGGAAATTCGCACACTTTCTTGAAGAGCAATGTCGGGAATTAGTACACCAATCCCTGCTGCTCCATGAGGATCAGTAGAAGCATCACAGTAGATTGCAAGTGGGGGGGTACCCTGAGGGGGTGGAGAATTTCATATATATTTCAAGTAATGGCCTTTTAACTCTGTTATTGAAGTCATGGATTTTGGCCCTGTTAATTTATCAATATGTACGTTAACATGTGATCTATGCCATGGTGAAGTAAGCGTTGCTTCTGGGATGTTGATAAAATCATTGTTCCACACACTGAAGCTGAGAATGGTCTGAGCAGTCTTGGCCTTCCATTCCAAGTTTGACTTTATGAGATTGGAGTATCGAGGCCGTCGGACATGCCTAACTCTACAATTAATCTCATTAGACAATGCAAGGGAAATATGAGGTTTGGACTGAATCTGCAGAAGTCTGATGCCGAGTATGGTGTTGACTTGGGTAATACGGCTGTGAATGACGGGAGATCAAGCTCTTTCCTCATGACAAGAACTTTAGCAGTTATTGGGCAACCCAAAATGACTCTCATGGCCTTGTTCTGTAAGATTTCAAGGGGTTTGAGAACATTTTGTGGCAACATACTAAGAACCGGGCTCGCATAGTCTATCATGGACCTAACAAGGGAAATGTACATCAATCTTAGGACTCTTAGGGAAGCACCAACGTATCTGTTACTTATGTATTGTAAAGGTCTTAAGCGCTCCAGGCAGCATTCTCTGATGTTTTGAACGATTTCCCGAGTGAAGCGGGAATTGCGGGACATGAGGTGGGGAGCACTCACCATAACACCAAGATACTTATAGGTGTCAGTTTTTGCAATAACTTGCCCACCTAATCTTGGAATGTATGACAGTTTGTTTGATCTGGAAATATACTTAGTCTTGACAGGGTTGATTACGAGTCCAAGGGAAGTGCACTTTTTACTGAATCCCTGAAGAACATACTCCCCCCTATCAAATACCTGAATGAGAACGTCATCAGCATAGGATGTGATGCTGCATAGGTCTCCTAACTCACTATTTAGCTTGCAAAGAGAGTGCATAAGAATGTTAAATAGTGAAGGGGACAAAACTCCTCCTTGTGGAGTTCCTAACTCGAGTTCACCATAATTACTGTAGGTGCCTTGGTAACATACTCTTGCTCTTCTCAAAGACAGATAATCCTTTATCCATAGCAGAAGCTTGCCCTTAACTCCTAGGAGAGTTAATTCATGGAGGATTGCAGTAGGGGAAGCTCTGTCAAATGCACCCTTGAAATCTATGAAGTAAGAAGCCTGTGCATTACTTCCACTGAGGTACTGTGCCAGGCACATTTGTGTTCCTTTCCCTTTTGGAAACCAAAGACTGATGGGTGAATTTGATCTTTGATCTGGTGGAGCAGGCGATTGAGGAGGATCCTTTCACAGGTTTTAGAGAGACAGGATGTCAGAGAAATCGGTCTAAATTCATCAGGACACCCTGGTTTTGGGATAGGAATAATGGTGGCTTGTTTCCAGGAAGTAGGCAAGATGCCTGTAGAATAAGTTAAGTTGAAAGATCAAGGAGAGGATTTCTTCCCTGTACCTGTACCTTTGCAAGGAGTCGGATGATGTCGTAAGTGATTCCATCATCCCCAGGTGCAGTGGATTTGCTAGTTTTAATGGCTGCAAGAAGTTCGTGTCTTGTAAATGGTGCATCAGCCTCATCTAAAAGTTGGCACTGATAGTTAATTTCATTTTTGTGTTTGACTTAAGGGAGCATCTACGAATGGATAATGGAAGATTATCGAGAGAAGAGTTTTCGCAGCATTTACTGAGGATTGACAAAGCTACCCTTTCTGGATGAGGGTGGGGAGTGACATTGTGTGCATTGCCTTTAATCTTATTGATTTCCCTCCACACATTACTCATGGAGCTCGTGGAGTCAATCGATTCTGCCCAGGCATACAATCTCTCTTCCCGCTTTTGTGTCATTATCTCATTAAGTTTTTTACTAAAGAAAACAAGGTCCCTAGCTAAGTAGGGATTTTTCCCCAGGTTTTTTAGCTGATTTACTGTAGACCTTATTAACTTTCTAAGTAGCTTTATTTCCGGATCTTTGTTAAGGTGATATGCTCGTTTGCCTCTGGAGGATGAAGACCTATGTTTGACAGGGTTTCTGGGTTGGAGTTGGGTGATGAGGTTACCAACTTGTTGACAGAGAGTTTCATTAAAGTGATCAAGGCTGGCAGGAATATAGTGTTCATACCAGCAGCCAATCCTTTTAATAAACTCATTATGATGTTTAGTGGCAAGATGGTATCGAAGACGTGGCTGGGGCGGGCTTCTTTTAGCGAATGGGAGGGTGATACTTAATGCCCAATGATCACTGACTAAGAAAGGGACAACTTCCGCAGTGCATGGGAGTGGGTGCTGATTGTATAAGACTATATAATCTAATTTGCCACCTAGATAATGAGTCTTTTCAAAGGGGCACAATAGGTGTATGGGATCACTGGTGTTTTGAAGATAATCATAATATACCTTACCGTTTTTACCTATGGTGCTTCCCTCAGAGCCAAGGAGAGGATGACGGGCATTAAAATCTCCACACAGTAAGACAGTAGCATTATGTATCATACTGTCGGGAGGTTTAGGTACCACTTCACTATCATGTGGGTTATATACATTAATGATGGTGATGGTTCTACCATCAAGAAATATTTTAACACCAAGATATTCAGCACTTGCATTGTCACGGTTGTCATCGATCACTTTTGATGGGATACTATTTTTTATGTAAATACCAAGTCCTCTTGCAGAAGGATTAGCAATATTAGGTTTGTCGTGATATGTGTATCCTGCAATTTTTGCATAACGAGCATCAGTTCTAACTTCCTGGAGGCAACACACATCAACATCTTCCGAGTGAAGATACTGAGCGAGGGTCGCCTTGCGTTTCTGTAAACTGTTAATGTTCCAGGTAATGCACTTTAACAGATTATTTTGATCCATCGATCATCACTTGACCGTTTCCAAGGCCCACTGGATGTTGTCGTTGCTCGAGGAAGAGCGCAAAAATCCTCTCCTGGAATTGCACCATCTGTTGCTGCATCATGAACATCATCTGCTCCATCTGCTTGAACAACATTTGTATCAAATCTTTCATTTCCCTGTTGGATTCTTGCTTTTCCTGCTGCGGTGAGGGAG